TCTATACGGTCCCACGTAGGTTGTTAGGAGAAGGTATGTGTGTGTTCCTGCTGCTTGTGAAGACACAGTGATCCTTTGGCTGATTGACAAAGATAAGACCCCTTTGATGTGACAGCCTGGCTCTGGGTTGAGCCCTGCTGTCCCGCCCTGGGGCCTGTTCACCTAAGATGTTCATTCCTGACAAACAAAATACACAGCCACCTTCCCCTCCATCCCCTCTGTGGAATGCCAAGCATCCTGCTTTCCGTAAATACCCCAGTCCTCCCGGGGAAGCCTCCGCCTGACCCCGGAGACACCAAACTGCTGACAGTGACTACCCACTGTCACTAGCAAATCGAGTCAAAGGATAAATAGGTCCCCTGCAAATGAAATGAATACCTGTTTAACTCTCTTAATTGATGAGGGAATTTTTTTTCCATTAAAAATTCAAGGTGCTTGGCAGTCAGTGAGTTCTTGACAATGAATGGATGTGTTCAAGGTCACAGAGCGCACGATACCTCGCCGCAGTTTCCACAATAGCAAGTCCAGGGCGGGTTTAAATCATCGCCGGGGGAATGGCCTGGATGGGCTGCTTCCAAGGCGCCTGGAGGTATTGGTTTCTGAAATTGCCTGTGTAAATCACAGAGATTTTTAACAGCTTCATTGCTAGACAGGAGCTGCCAGGCTTTAGGTAACCACTCCCCTCAATTTCAATGAAATCATTGGCGATGATGATAAGTTTAGAATGTGATTCTCAGAAGAAACGTCACGAAAGAATTCACTGGCTGCACAGGAAAAATGGATCCATTTCCATCAGGAATGCAGTGGGTGGGCGCTGTGTGTGTGTACCTTTCACTACAGGCCTGTCTATCTTTGTGTTAAAATGGGAAAACAAAACCTGTAGTTTAGAGCTTGTGTTGAGTCAGCAAATACTTTGGGAGGTTGCTGATGGGTTAAATATAATAACCTTTCAATCACTAATTCTTCAAGGTCTTTTTCAAGATGTTTCTCCTTGACATCAGAAGGTACAATAAATTAAAAATATGGTTACCAATATGGAGCACACCCAACCTATAAACCCCAAAGCCTCTCAGAGGAATATTCCAGAAAGCAAAACGCTGAGCCTTAAGATTGGGAGAGTAAACATAATTGCAGACTTTTACTCAACAAATATCCTATTAGTGTGTTAACTAACTGTACTGAGGAGACATTGAGGCCATAGATAAATGATAGATGATTTCAAAACACACATCTTAATGCAAGTGCGGATAGCTAATTTGATTGTAAGAAGATGCATATATCTTAATGGTAACAGTGAGAGATATAATAGCCATTTGAGAAGAAGAGACAAGGGAGCATATAGAAGTAACTGGATTTTAAAAAATTTTTTCACTGCTTCCCAACACCCACATTCTCTGCCACCTGGTCAATTTCCTCATTTATTCGTTGATTTGTGACATGTTTGTTGAGAGTCTCCAATCTGTAAGGCATATGGGGGCACTGAGAACAAAAATACCAGCTTCACCCGGCGGGGCGGGGCTCAGCGGTTGAGTGTCGACCTAGGATCCAGGCGATCGGGGTTCGATTCCCGGTCAGGGCACATGCCCAGTTGTGGGCTTGATCAATGACTCTCTCATCATTGATGTTTCTGTCTCTCTCCCTCTCCTTTCCTCTCTCTGAAATCAATAAAGACATATTTAAAAAAAAAAAAAACCAGCTTCATCTCCAAAGACTGCAAAATTCAAAGGTACGCGGGAAAATCATTCCAAAACATAGTGTGAGAAATATATTTAAATCATTCAGCCCACTATTCATTCAGCAAATTTTTCTGGAGCATCTACTATGTGCCAGGCATTTGCTAGGCCCTGGAGATACGATGTCCAATGAAACGAGGCCAGAGATCTACAGTCTGATGGGTCAGATTCTCATTAATTAGCCCTGACTGATCATTTAGCGGCAAGGGTAAAAATAGGATGAATTATGGACTTCCGCAGGGACATGGGCCAATGCCACATGTCGCTTAGGGTTACTCAGCCCTTTTCCCATTTGAAAGGAGAGACAGACGGGCAGATCGGAGCTTCTCCCAGGAACAATCTTTACCTTGAAAATCGATGCCAATGGGATTTGGTCTCTGGAGAATCTTACAAAGCTAGAAGGCAGGGACCATGCTGCTGGCATCGAGGACCGAATGATTCACTGGAAGCAGAGGTGACTCAGTCCCGTCACAGGGGAAGGGGGAAGAAGTCAGGCACGCAGTGACACTGACGAATTATGGAAGAAAGCGAGCCGGCACATTTCCAAGCCGGGATGAGAGGAGGGACGGCGAGTGGGATGTCTCCCACCCCACCCCTGCCAGCCAGGGCCACAGGAACCATTTCAAGCAGGACACTGGGATATCTGCCAAGAGAGACGTCCTCCCAGAGACAGGAGCTGGGGACTGAGGGCCCCATTTCCCAGGTCACTCCAGTCACCAGGGGAGAGTTGCTGTGGGGCAGAAGGTTCTCGCCACAGCCCCCAACTGCGCCCGCATGTTTCAGAGAGAGAAGTGACCCCCCCGCCCCCGGGCTGCTTGTCCAGGGTTTTGTGGTCGCATCAGTGTTGGAGCTGATTTGTATCACCAAGTGTCACTTCACCTGGGGTGGAGGGAGGATCTCCCTTATCTATGCAGCCAGGACTATTTTGAGGCCACTCTATCAGAAACCGGCTTATTTTGGAAGTACTTAAGCCCTCTATTTTTAAAAATAAACTTAGAAATCTTTCTCCTTTTGTGTTTGAGTGATCAACAAAAGGCTGGGTTTGGGAGTTTGTTTTCCCAGCACCCCGCTTTCAGCCCACTCAGCTTTAATTATGTTTTGTTTAAAACTTATCAAGCGGAGGCTTGCTGAGACAGAGCCACGCGACAGAGAAGCGAAGGCCCGTCTTCTGGCTTCCAAGAGCCTTCTCCTCTTACGCTTACTTTATCGTTATATTCAGATACACTGCCCTCGGAGTCTTGGGCGCAGGCTCGATTTTTCTTTCCCTCCTCTTCCAAGATACGTATCTTGAAGAAAATCGTCTTTGTTTAGCTTGTGATTTTTTTTCCGACGCATTTATCAAAAAGGGAAAGGATTAGAGTGTTTGATTTTATTTGTTTTCTAGGATCTTTGTTCTGCATTTTTGTCCCATATTTCCTCCCCTGACTTTCTTCTTACCCTGGATTTCTGTTCCACTCAAATGCTTTCTTCAGTTTCGGGCTTCCTAGCCCGTGGGTTCTTAGGCTTCTGTTTTAAGACACTTACAGGTAAGATAAACTATAAGGTGGGTAATTTTGTGGATAACATTGTACCCGAGAAAACTTACCAAGTGCTTGTGGGAAAGCGTGGCAGGTCGCAAAAGGTAAAGGAGCAACGCGTGTCTTCCCCCTTCTGGTCCCGAGGCCACACCCTGTCTAACCTGGCAGGTCCCTTTCCTCGCCCAGCCGCCCGCCTGTCTAAGCTGTCCACGGGGGCCCTCCCGCACCTTCCTTCTGCCCCACTCAGGTCCCGTCCGCTCCATTAAGCAGGTTCCACTCCTCCCAGCCCACGGCCCACACTCTCCCCTTCCTTCTCTGACCCCTGGTGTGCACGTAGTAATCCCTCCTCCTTTCCTGCTTGCAATCCATCCCATTCTTAGAACATCTAGTTTGCCACATTTCTAGATCATCTATAGAGTCATTGTTTTTCTAAAGAGAATTACACCCTTCATTTCCCAGGTAACTCTACCAATTTTTTGGGTCTTAGCAGGACCTCATAAGTAAAGGTCTGAAAATCCCAGTGGGCACCGCTGCCCAAGGGCCTGGCCTTGGGTTAGCGTAGGTCCGGCAGATGCTTACTGAGCAGGAGCAGCCACGTCTGGCCGAACCCCTCCTCCCGCCGACACTCAGTTTGGTCAGGGCCTCACTTACGTATCACCCGTCTTGTGGATTCTGTTTTATTATGTTTCTCGAGATCAACCCTTTGTGCTTCAGGCAAGATTAGTCAAAACTGGGATTTGTTCTGGGGAGAGTTAGACCAGGCATGACTCTGTGCGACCCTTTCAGTGATGAGGTCTTCTGAAAGAATTCACTGCCTCAGGACTTAGATTTCTGAAAACAGAGTTTTGGGAAATGACATCTATCTCTTTTTATCGTGAGCAGTGCTTTGTTTCAGGTGGAGATTAATGGTCTTACTAGCCCAGGCAAATGATCCATTTTACAGGTATCGTGAGCTGAGTAAAACCCAGCCTTTACCACACTCAGCACTCACCCCCCAGCTGCATACACTGCTCCTGGGACAAGGGCATGTATTGCTACAGGGGTGTAATCAAGTGAAAGTTCATGGAGGAGCTAAGGGGATGCTTCCATGACTGTTAGGATGTGTTCTTCATTTTTGGAAGCTTGAATGTATCACTTGTGTTTCTGGGTAACATTCATGGTCAAGACCAAAGGTGAACAGTACAGGTGTCTTTGAAATGAACTCCCGCGCCTCCTGAGTTCCTGTTCCACGAGGAACCTCGGCGTGTTCTACATTGCACTGCGTTCTGGAAAATTACATCTCTCGTGGCTCTGACGGACAGTTACCCAATCTTTTAAGCTTATCTTCATATGGAAGGGGATTTTTTTTCCCATCTATACTCAGATTCACAGATTTTTAATCGTAATAGAAAATATTCGGTAGCTTCTCCTATTAAAAGTGGACTCGAAAAGACAATGTTTATACCTTCTGGCACCCAGCACACTGCTTGACACATAGTAGGTGTGCAGAAAGTGTGCTCAGCAAGCAAAGGCATACCCACAATGATTCCCACATGCTTGGCTGCATGTGTGCAGACTCATGACTGTTTCGCACCGAGTAATGGGCAGAAGTTGTGTTAACTTTCCTTTCCCAGTAGCTTATTATACCGAAGAGTAAATACCAAACCTGCCGAATGAAACAGGGCTGTCTCCCAGGTCGGGCTGCGTGCCGACCCCTGCCCAGCTGTCTAAACCCAAGCCCTCTGTGTCGTTTTGTTCCCCTTCTGCTCAGATGCCCAGCCCACAGAAGGAGAGAGGGAAATATGGAACCAGATCAGCGCCGTCCTCCAGGACTCCGAGAGCATCCTCGCCGACCTGCAGGCCTACAAGGGCGCGGGGCCAGAGATCCGAGACGTATGCCAATGACAATAGCAAGCTGACAGCACCCTTGGACGACAAGGGAAACCCACACACGCACACACACAGCAAGATCAAGTGATAGACCTAGTATTTCCTAGTGTCGCAGGAAGAACAGGGGTGGTAATGGGCCCTTGAACAAATGCGTGAACGGCCCCTTCTGTCCTAGGACGTTAATCTGAGCACACGCTGCTGTAGACCATGAAAATGTTAGCCACCCTCTCCTCAAACATGCATGTAATGCTGCAGGACTCCCATTTGCACAATAATTTCTCAGTCTATTACTTCATTCGAGGCAAACGTACATATAAAGTTGTTGAACAACAGTTGAAATATGAGTCTTGAGCTCTGGGTTTACATGAACTTTCCAACATTTTGTAATAATTTGGGCAGGTTCCACCAGCACCACCAACAGCCGTCATAAACTATCTCACTGTTAGTAGCCTGCAGGTCTGTCATTTTTAACTGACTTAGGAGATTAAAAGAAAATAAATACATGAAAATCAAAGCAACAACCAAAACAAAAAAGGAAATTGTCCCTGGGGCTTTTGAGGCTTCAAAATGCCTTAAAGGCAAGAAACTTCTCACTCTTCTTATTTGAAATAATTAGTTTTGTGGAAGTATCAACACATACACGTGTGTGCACACACAGGCACACACGCACACACACGCGCGCACACACACCTGCGGCTGCTGCCAAAATTGTTCTGGAAAAAAACACCACTAACGTCACAGTTCTCCCGCTGCTGGAACCCAGACAAAACAAGGTTTCTAAGAAAGTAGCAGCCTGTTAAAAGGTTGTTTTTCTACTTAGGGGGCCACCGTGAATTTAGGTGATTTAGGTAACATCACAGCCTGGCAGGAATGTGATACATATGACGGAGAAAGGAAAAAGACCTACAGAATTGTCGTTTCGTAATGAGCACCAGCTCTACTTTAGAAGGATAAATGATGGTGGAGGGGGTTTGCATTGCTTCCAATTAGATGTGCATTTTTTACATTTAAGATAAGAGAAACAAGTTGACACAGGATCTAATTATAGAGCTATTTGCAGTATGTTCAAGTGCTGAAATCTCCATTGAGCATTTTGGAGGACAGTCCGATGAACTGATGTCAGTGTAACAAGTATACATTAGCAAAGTACATCAGAAACTGTGTTTTTCGAAATGTAAATCGTCTCTCAATCTTAAGTCGTTTTGACATGGAGCTTATTGCTTCCTTCTAAACAATTCTGTGATTTTTTCCAGGCAATTCAAAATCCCAATGACATCCAGCTTCAGGAAAAAGCTTGGAACGCAGTGTGTCCTCTGGTCGTGAGGCTAAAGAGATTCTATGAGTTCTCCATAAGGCTAGGTGGGTTCGTGTTTACAGCGTCCGTGTCCCACGCGGGAAGCTCTGTGGTGCTGGTGAAAGCCAGAGGAAGAGAACGTCAGCTGGGGCTGCAAATGGTGCTTTTTGAAGGCTCTCTGCAGGCCACCTCAAACATGTATTTACCCCTTTGACTTCCAGAAAAAGCTCTTCAGAGTTTATTAGAGTCTCTGACCTGTCCACCCTACACACCGACCCAGCACCTGGAGCGGGAGCAGGCCCTGGCTAAGGAGTTTGCCGAAATTCTGCACTTCACCCTTCGGTTCGATGAGCTGAAGGTGAGGCCACACGTGCTTGACAATTTAACACACTCGTGCCGAGTGCCTGCTGTGTACAGGTCCTGCGCCGTGCTGTGGGGTGGGGGACAGAGAGAGATGAGTGAGGTGCAGCTCCTTCCCCGGGGAGACGTAGAAAGCAGTGAGAATTGCACTCTTAAAAGGGACAGGAGGGTGGTTTCCACATGAAAATTCAAAACCTGCTTAATGCAACAAGAGAAACCTTTCGAGTGTCTGTTCCTCATTGAGAACAAATATACTTTCCTTGGAGTCTAGTCTATAGTGACAACGGCATTTAGACAATGAAGCCCCGAGTACTTATTTTCAACCAGAAGCTGCTTCGATTCTTGCGTGACCAAGAGAAGGCCTGGTGTATTTACACCAGTGCACATCCCCCCCGATGCCGAGACGACCTCCCCTCCCCTCTGACTTTCAGATGAGGAACCCGGCCATTCAGAATGACTTCAGTTACTACAGGAGGACAATAAGCCGCAATCGCATCAACAACATGCACGTGAGTCCCCGGAGCCCCTGGGCAAAGCCACCAGATCTTTGCGTCTCTTCTGATGCCCGCGTCAGGCAGGGCACAGGGAGAGGACAGAGTCTTGTCGGTGATTCAATTTCCAGAGGACATTGTTTGGGGGTTTTTGACGACCTCTTTATCAGATGCATCTTCTCTTCTTATTTTCATCAGCTAGACATTGAGAATGAAGTCAATAACGAGATGGCCAATCGAATGTCCCTCTTCTATGCAGAAGCCACACCCATGCTGAAGACCCTCAGCAATGCCACCATGCACTTTGTCTCCGAAGTAAGTGGAGCTGAGCCACGAGGTGCCTTTTTCTTAATTGCACGTAAAAGCTGCTGGCAGCGCTGACGTCCGTTTGTGTCTCCCATTTAGAACAAAACCCTGCCCATAGAGAACACCACAGACTGCCTCAGCACCATGACGAGTGTCTGTAAAGTCATGCTGGAGACGCCGTAAGTGACATCAGATTTGTTTTCGTGGTCCAGAGCTCACCTAGGTCCAGAGCCTCTTGGTATAGCGATGATGATGCTGACACCTAACCGCTGGGTCAGCACGTGAACATTTACACATCTGCTATCTGAATTAATCTCGTAAAGAACTCTGGGTGGTAGGTGTAGTTATCCCATTTTAGAGCTGAGGAAGCTGAGGCTGACTTTCAAAAGCTTNTGATGATGATGCTGACACCTAACCGTTGGGTCAGCACATGAACATTTACACATCTGTTATCTGAATTAATCTCGTAAAGAACTCTGGGTGGTAGGTGTAGTTATCCCATTTTAGAGCTGAGGAAGCTGAGGCTGACTTTCAAAAGCTTGCACAGCTTGTTAGATGGCAAGACCAACACTCAAGTCAAAGACGCTGTAGAAATTGTGTAAGAATCAAGTGGAGGACTGGGTGAAATAACTGGGTATTATTATAAATATATTGGAGAAAAGATTGGAAAGAAGGTTTAGAACCAGGAGAAGTGGTAAGACGGTTGTAAGAGGGTGATAAAGATCTCTCTCTTTCTGTCTCTCTCTCAGCAGTTCCTTTGTATTTAAGCTGGTTGCTGGATTTAAAAATGGTTGAGGTTGTTGAGGATTAGGCAGCATGGTCATGAGGAAATCCACATTCAAAAGCCAGGGGTTCCACTTATATCTGTAGCCCCTTCCGGGCCCATAGACCAGTGGTCTGAACTGCCTGGGCCTGGTTTCCTCACAAGGTGACATTCTCATAAAGCCATCTAAGTTGCAGAGTGTTTGGGAGGCCCATAGGGACCAAAAATGCCTTATAAAATGTGATGTCCTGTTCCAGTGTAAGATGACATTAGTTTCAAATATCTTGCTTATACCAAAGTCAAGATTTATTCCAAGACAAAATAGCAATCATCTTCATTGAGGGGCCCATTCATAAAGAAACAGATATTAAGAAAGCCTCTAGTTTTGGCCCGAGCTATCTGAATCAGCAGAGCCCCCGTCAGGGTAAGTAGACAGTGTTCAGGCTTCACGAATGCGCCCAGCCCAGGGAATGGCACGTGGGTTCTCAGAGGGATCCTCCGCAGCCGAATTCAGCCTGCAGCCTGCATCTGAGCTACCCTGGCTGGGGACACGGTCGCTGCTCGGTGGAGGCAAGCGTGGTTCTTTCTCTGTAATGAAGCCATTACTCTCTAGCATCTTGGACAGCCAGAGGGAACCGCTATAAAATATTCAAGATGGATGGGCGGGGAGTGATGTACGCAGTGAGCTGGCTCCTGAAGGGCAGGAGAGAAGAGAATTGACTGCCTCTGATTTACCTTATTTTCACACTGAGCTGCTGGTGGATGCATTCAAGGCGAATGATCACCTTGGGCTTCTCGAAGAGCATATTAACCTGGTGGGGGCAGGTCTGGGCTGCTCTCAGGAGAGGATCCGCGGAGTCCGAAGCAGCGGGCGCAGAGCCAGCAAGGAGCGCGCTCGGGCCGGGCAGTAACCGCTGCGGCTTCCTCTCTCCCAGGGAGTACAGGAGCAGGTTTACGAGCGAGGAGACGCTGATGTTCTGCATGAGGGTCATGGTGGGGGTCATCATCCTCTACGACCACGTCCACCCCGTGGGAGCGTTCTGCAAGACGTCCAAGATCGATGTAAGAACAGCTACGAAATGTGCTTTCCTCCCCACCCCCAAGAGTGACCTCTCCAGGATACAAGCCCCATCCTGGCAGCTCGCTTGCTCTCTTTTTTTTTTTTTTTAGGGTGTA